GTGGAGTGCATGTCTCTGAGCTGGCCAGGCTGTACACAAAACCCCAGTCAACCATCGCTACTATTGTGGCCAAGAAAATGGCAATCAAGGAAGCTGTTCTTGCCAAAGGTGCAACTATGTTTTCGAAACTGAGATCGCAAGTGATAGAAGATGTTGAGAGACTGTTATTGGTATGGATAAACGAAAAACAGATAGCAGGAGATAGCATCTCTCAAGCGATCATATGTGAAAAGGCTAGGAAGTTGCATGACGATTTAATTAGAAAAATGCCAGCAACTAGTGGTGATGTGAGTGAATTTAAGGCCAGCAAAGGTTGGTTTGAGAGATTTAAGAATCGTAGTGGCATACATAGTGTGATAAGGCATGGTGAGGCTGCCAGTTTGGACCAAAAAGCAGCTGAAAAATATGTGCAGGAATTCAAGGAGTACATAGACAGTGAAGGACTGAAACCTGAACAAGTGTTTAATGGAGACACTGACAATGTTGTGAAACACTTTAGGAATGTCATAAAGGAACGGGAGGTACAGGCCTCTATGGGCAGATATGTTGTGCGACAGAGGTCCAGTGACTCTCAAGCTGGTCCTAGTGGCATTAAAAGAAGAAGGGAAGTAACCCCGAAAAAGTACTTGCCACCTCAAGTCCTAATGGAAGGAGATTCCCCTTCTAAACACTAAAACCATCAACACACTCCCCTCTTCCCATCCCATCAATCATCACCAGATCTTCAATAAAGGTAAGTGTCGTGTAACTGTGCATGTCTTCTTCAGTTTGTGTGTATTAAAATTAATATTTCATGTGTTAAAAAATGTTTTTTTTCAATACTTTTGGGTGTCTTGCACAGATTAATTTGATTTCCATTATTTCTTATGGGGAAAATTAACTTGACTAACGATTATTTTGACTAACGATGAGCTCTCAGGAACGGATTAATAGCGTTAGTCGAGGGTCCACTGTATATTGAACAACCACGGTGACATCACACATCCTTGTCTAAGGCCTACTTTTACTGGGAAATAATCTCCCTCTCTCCTACATACTCTAGCCTGAGCCTCGCTATTCTCATGAAAACTCTTCACTGCTTTCAGTAACCTACCTCCTATACCATACACCTGCAACATCTGCCACATTGCCCCTCTATCCACCCTGTCATACGCCTTTTCCAAATCCATAAATGCCACAAAAACCTCTTTAGCCTTATTTAAATACTGTTCACCTATATGTATTCACACAAAAACAAAAGATTTACTGTTATGCAGTATTATTATAAATGTCAGTTCATTCATCAACACGTATTAGACTAACCAGTTGAATGTGTACTGGATGAGTTACGCAATTTGTTTACTCTGGAATACGTATTGGTGAAATTTGAACAGTTAAGCTACTTTGAGCTCAATTTCAAGCTACTTTCATTCCTGAAACTAATCAGTATCACCTCTATTTCTCTAATATATCTTCCATTCTGTCAAAGAAAACCAAGAATTTAACCATAAAATCCATGTGACAAAACACCAGTCACTGTTTTAAACCAACAACATGGTCCATTATTTTTTTTTTTAACCTCGTGCACTGCTTTCTGCTGGATTTTTTTTTATATGATGCACACATATTGCATAGAACTGTTCTCTTATATCTAGGCCCAAATTTACTGCTTACATCTTATCTGAGAGGGCTGAGCTCATCATGTAGAACAACAGGACCGACAAATGCTTCAAAGCTGTAGTACAATAGGATCCACCCCGAAAGGGTTAAGTGTCCATGGCATAGTACTACAGGTTTGAAGCCTGTCTATGCCGTAGAAATATGTGATGATATGAGCTCACTCAGATAAGCAGCGATTGGTAAATTTTTTCCTAGATGTGAGAGAATGGGTTCATGCAATAAGTGTGCACCATTTAAAAAATCCTGTAGCACACAGTACACAATGAAAAAAGCTGGTTTAAAACTGACTTCGTTTTTTTATGTATATACAGTGGACCCCCTCAATCCGTCGCCATCACATAACGTACAATCCGCATACCGCTCGCTTTTATCGCAAAAATTTTGCCTCGCATACCACTCAAAAACCCGCTCACCGCTCTTCGTCCGAGACGCGTCCAATGTGCACCCTTAGCCAGCCTCACATGTGCCGCCGGTGGCATTGTTTACCAGCCAGCCTCCGCGGTAACATCCAAGCATACAATCGGAACATTTCGTATTATTACAGTGTTTTTGGTGATTTTATCTGCAAAATAAGTGACCATGGGCCCCAAGAAAGCTTCTAGTGCCAACCCTACTGCAATAAGGGTGAGAATTACTATAGAAATGAAGAAAAAGATCATTGATAAGTATGAAAGTGGAGTGCGTGTCTCCGAGCTGGCCAGGTTGTATAATAAACCCCAATCAACCATCGCTACTATTGGTAGTACAGCTGCTGCTGCTGCTGCTGCTGCTGCTGTAGTACCGTCTGCTGCTGCTGTAGCATCGTCTGCTGCTGCTGTAGCACTGTCAGCTGCTGCTGCTGCTGTTGTACCACCGTCAGCTGCTGCTGTTGTAGTACCGTCTGCTGCTGCTGTAGTACCGTCTGCTGCTGCTGTAGTACCGTCTGCTGCTGCTGTAGCATCGTCTGCTGCTGCTGTAGCATCGTCTGCTGCTGCTGTAGCACTGTCAGCTGCTGCTGCTGCTGCTGCTGCTGTAGCACCGTTGTTGGTGTGGCTTATTGAGAATACCAAGAAACAATTAACCCCAGAGGATTTGCCACCCAGGATAACCCAAAAAAGTCAGTGTCATCGAAGACTGTCTAGCTTATTTCCATTGGGGTCCTTAATCTTGTCTCCCAGGATGCATCCCACACCAGTCGACTAACACCCAGGTGAACAGGGAAAAATGCCTGGAACTAGTGCTCATATTGGTGAATTTAAAGCCAGCAAAGGTTGGTTTGAGAGATTTAAGAATAATAGTGGCATACACAGTGTGATAAGGCCTATTCTGGAAGAAAATGCCAAACAGGACCTACAGTACTCAGGAGGAAAAGGCACTCCCAGGACACAGTTGTCTCATCAGTCATTGCTGCATCTTCAATAAAGGTAAGTGTCATTTATTCTTCATTTAGTAGACTAGTACATGCACAATATATATTGTGAATGTACTACTCTACTATTGTGCATGTATCCTTCTCTCTGTGTGTAGGAAAATGTATATTTCATGTGGTAAAAATTTTTTTTTCATACTTTTGGGTGTCTTGCACGGATTAATTTGATTTCCATTATTTCTTATGGGGAAAATTCATTCGCATACCGATCATTTCGCATAACAATGAGCCCTCTTGCACGGATTAAAGTCGCTATGCGGGGGTCCACTGTATATGATTGTATTCTGTTTCTTGGTATCTTTTGATAGAATTGAAGATATTACAGAAACAAAGATGATTTTGATTGATTTCAGGAGTGGAAGTATCTTGAAATTGAGCTCATGAAATTGAGACGGTTTGGTTTTTGCCAATATTCCAGAGTATACTCATTGTCATTTGTCAAATACACATCAGACTGCTGGGTCTAATACAGCCTCTCCTCACTTAATGATGGAGTTACGTTCCTAAGACCACATCGTTAAACGAATTCGTTGCTAAGTGAGGACCATACTGTAATGGTAGTGAGTTTGTGTCGACCATCTTTGATGTTGTTTTAATGTCACCTTTGCATCATTTATAACATTTTTAATATATTTTTAAATGTTTATACAGTAGTGTACTGTATATTGAAATAAACAGAATAGAGGAAATCAGCTGTAATATGCATTATTTAGGTATGAATACTGGTCAGAGAGCCCATCGTAAGTCAGAGGCATCAGTAAACGAGTACTTTGCTAAGTGAGGAGAGGCTGTATGCATTCAAGAATGCACTGTCATTATTTATACACTTATTACAATAATTCTTTGCAGTAAATCTTTCATGTGTGAAGCCTGGAAACATAACTAATGAACTGAGGAAATGTTATTTTAGTGCCAGGAATGTCTGCAATGTTTCTTCTAGAACCAGTTTTGAAATTTGTGTGAAATTGGCCTGTTGTAGGGGGTTCGTCAGATGTTTGAGTAAGAAATACACACGTTATATGTCTTGGATGCATATAATTAAGAGTCTTGAGAAGCCCAGGAGCCTCGTCTTGTCCAGTCTATGCCTAGTGAGAACTAACCATGAGGCCTCTGCCTACTGTTCACATGTGATGGGTCTCGTGATGTCATAGCTAGCAAGGGAGTCTATCTGTAAAGTAGCTGGGATTATCTAAGTATACTACACAAGTACACATAAATACTACTAACAGGCCAAATTACCAATTTCTGATTACTTTTTGGTAGTTGAAATAGTTGATCAGGCAGTTTCTTGGGCTTAATCGATACAATGAAACCTAATGAAATAGCCAAGATTTGTCTGTCTGGAACAGTGTAATTGGCCTAAAATAGGACTCAGCGAGTGAAATTGCCAATGTGTATATATCGCTGACGCATCAAAATTTACGTTAGTGTAATTTCATAAATTTTCCATCAGATTTTGTACTTTTTTTTTTTTTTTTTTTTTTTTTTTTTTAACCTTCAAAAAAAGATTCTCTACCATTTCATAAGGATCTTTCTCTTTTTTTTAAATTGTTGGACACAGTGGTCACTTTTCAGATTGGGGGTTTGGACACTTAAGGGGTTGATGCATAATTTGGTTACAGTATTGTCCATTATTAAATATCCTGGCCTAGTTTAGCTAAACATTATACCTTTGTAATAAGTGCAACTCATTATATAGGCACTGTTTAGTGTGGTCTGTAACAGTTTGCTTTATCCTATATAAATTACATAAGGTGGAGCATTTGGTTGTTATTCAAGATGGATAGTTAATATTATGGCACTCATTAACTGTTGATAAATGATGTTGATGTTCAAAAGAGCAGTACCAAGTATTAAAGTGCAAAATTAATATTGTATCCAAATGTGACATGAATACCAAAAACAAGTTGTTCATTAAATGATAATATTTCAGACAGCTTCACCTGCAATACCTCTACGTACATTAGAGAGGAGTCCTCCATCTATAACCCTCAATGTTGATCATGTCGTCCATTGTTCACCAAATGCTCGTGACATGGATTTGCAGAGTCTACGTTATCAGGTGATTTTTCAGCATAGTGCAGTATGGGAATGCCAAAGATAATGCAACAGCTCTTCATGTGAAAAATATTTTTGGGGAAAATGTGTGTGGTTACCTTGTAGTCTTGTCTATATATTTTTTGTCAGCGCTTTATTTCCAGTTTGTCTTGCTTCTTCAAACTGACATGAATACCTGTACCACTTACTTTATAATACCTATACCACTTACTTTATAATACCTGTACCACTTACTTTATAATACCTATACCACTTACTTTATAATACCTGTACCACTTACTTTATAATACGTATACCACTTTATAATACCTGTACCACTTACTTTATAATACAGTGGACCCCCGGTTTATGATATTATTTCATTCCAGAAGTATGTTCTGGTGCCAGTACTGACCGAATTTGTTCCCATAAGGAATATTGTGAATTAGATTAGTCCATTCAGACCCCCAAACATACACATACAAACGCACTTACATAAATACACTTACATAATTTGTCGCATTGGGAGCTGATCGTAAACCGGGGGTCCACTGTACCTGTACCACTTTATAATACCTGTACCACTTTGTGATACCAATACCACTTTATTAATGTACCACTTTATGATACTTCTACCACTTTATAATCACAGTACAACACACTTTATAATACCAGTACCACTTTATAATACCAGAACCACTTGATAATACCTGTACTACTTTATAATACTAGTACCACTTTATAATACCTGTACCACTTACTGTATAATACTTGTACCACTTTATAATACCTGTACCACTTTGTGATACCAATACCACTTATACCTGTACCACTTTGATACTTCTACCACTTTATAATCCCAGTACTCAACACACTTCATAATACCAGTACCACTTTATAATACCAGAACCACTTTATAATACCAGAACCACTTTATAATACCAGAACCACTTTATAATACCTGTACTACTTTATAATACCAGTACCACTTTATAATACCACTGCCACTTTATAATACCAGAACCACTTTATAATACCTGTACCACTTTATAATACCAGTACCACTTTATAATACCAGTACCACTTTATAATACCAGTACCACTTTATAATACCAGTACCACTTTATAATAATACCAGTACCACTTTATAATACCAGTACCACTTTATAATACCAGTACCACTTTATAATACCAGTACCACTTTATAATACCAGTACCACTTTATAATAATACCAGAACCACTTTATAATACCAGAACCACTTTATAATACCAGAACCACTTTATAATACCAGAACCACTTATAATACTGCTAACTACTTATAATAACCAGTGACCACTTTATAATACCAGAACCACTTTATAATACCAGAACCACTTTATAATACCAGTACCACTTTATAATACCAGTACCACTTTATAATACCTGTACCACTTTATAATACCTGTACCACTTTATAATACCTGTACCACTTTATAATACCTGTACCACTATAATACCTATATCACTATAATACCAGTACCACTTACTTTATAATACTTGTACCACTTTATAATACCTGTACCACTTCATGATGCCAGTACCACTATAATGCCAGTACCACTTTATAATACCTGTACCACTTCATAATGCGTGTACCACTTACATACTTTATAATACCACTTCATAATACCCGCACCACTTACTTTATAATACTTGTACCACTTTATAATACCTGTACCACTTCATGATGCCAGTACCACTATAATGCCAGTACCACTTTATAATACCTGTACCACTTTATAATACTTGTACCACTTTATAATACCTATATCACTATAATACCAGTACCACTTACTTTATAATACTTGTAGCACTTTATAATACCTGTACCACTTCATGATGCCAGTACCACTATAATGCCAGTACCACTTTATAATACCTGTACCACTTCATGATGCCAGTACCACTATAATGCCAGTACCACTTTATAATACCTGTACCACTTCATAATGCGTGTACCACTTACATACTTTATAATACCACTTCATAATACCCGCACCACTTACTTTATAATACTTGTACCACTTTATAATACCTGTACCACTTCATGATGCCAGTACCACTATAATGCCAGTACCACTTTATAATACCAGAACCACTTTATAATACCTGTACTACTTTATAATACCAGAACCACTTTATAATACCAGAACCACTTTATAATACCAGTACCACTTTATAATACCTGTACCACTTCATAATGCCAGTACCACTATAATGCCAGTACCACTTTATAATACCTGTACCACTTCATAATGCGTGTACCACTTACATACTTTATAATACCACTTCATAATACCCGCACCACTTACTTTATAATACTGACCTGCTACCTCTGAGGTAGGGGTGAACCTCCAACTAAAACAAATCATATTTCATTTAACCCTTAAATGGTCCAAACGTATATATACGTTTTTTCAACATCTGAAAGTATGTTAAAAAATGTAGATCTTCTTTTTTGTTTTGCATTTGAAAACGTGTAAAAAAACTTTTATCTACATTTTTTTTTTTTGTTATATTTGAAAATATGTAAAAAAAATAGATCTACTTTTATAGCACTACGAATTTGAACGTCGATCTGTTTGGACCGTTTAAGGGTTAAATAAATGATTTGTCAGAAGTGTAAAGATAAAAAAGAAAATATTTTATTTCTTTGCAAGGTTACAATGTATATTTACAATTTTGATTTTTTTTTTCTAATTTTATTTTATTTATTTATTTTATGTCTTTGCAAACAGTACATTGAGATTTTATATTTACAATAGTGGGTTGCAATGCAATGAGAGCCTCTATTATGCCTAGGCATTATGGGCCAACTTAACATTATTGGCTTATAGACTACTTAACACTAAGGATTTTATCATAGTTGTACAGTAGGACAGTAATTATTTCATAGTTGAACAATAGATTATTAATTATAAGTGAATTAAATTTGTATAAGACAAAGGATATATTCATATAGTCTAAAATGCTTTTTGTGAAAAACAATGGTTATATTCCTGTCAACAATGGATAAAAGGGTCAAAGTGATTGTTGAAGTCATGATGTGGGAGTACATAGGTGAAAAAAGTTTTAAAAAATTATGTGGGTACTCGATATTAGCATTTAGTCTAGGGTGATTAAGTAGGCTTTTGAGAAGATTCCTTAAACTGATTTTCAGACTGGGTTACTTTAATATATTCTGGTAATGAATTCCATGTTTTAGGGCCCTTCATGTGCATAGTTTTTACATAGTGTGATATGGACACAAGGTATATCAAAAAGAGATCTGTGTCTTTGTGTGGTCATGTGTCCTGTTTAAGTTTGGTGAGGAGAAGTTTGAGGGTTTATATTTGCGTGTATTGGTCTGTGTATGTAGTAGGCACAGAAATAGTAGAGGTTCTTAATGGTGAACAGATTTCAGAACTTTTTTGAAAATTTGGTTGGATATGCTGGCGGGAGTGGCAATTCGTTATCATTCTTACTGCTACTGCTGCCTTTGCTGGGTTATAGGGGTTTTAGGTGATTGGATGTTGTTGATCCCCATGCACAAAATCCATAAGTAATAAGGGTATAATGAGAGTATGGCACAGTCCAGGAGAGGCCGATTGTGGAATGAAGTACCTTATCTTTGATAGTATGGCCTATCCTTGGAGAGTTACTTGCTGATTTTTTGTATGTTGTTCAGAGCTTAAGGCTACTGTCAAGGTGGATACCTATGAATTTTCCCTCTGTGAGTCATGTGACTTGATGTCCAATTAGCATTATGTTTAATCGGATCAATTGCAGCTTTGTTTACCAAATTAATGAAATAGGTTTTAATCGGTATTATTCGGGTAATTTATTAGTCCATCATCCAGGCAGATAATTTCTGCATTCGTTATTGAATGGTTTGCAACTATGACGTGTTTGGGTGATAAAAGACGAATGTATGTGTCATCTGCATAATAATATGGGTTTGAGTTAACTGTGAGATGTCATTCGGTAAGATCATTGATGTAGATGAAAAGAGATTGGTCCAAGGACCTTTCTTGTGGGACTCCTACTGTGAGTGGTTGGGTGAAGAGTTAGCTCATTGCGTGTCAATATATTGAGTTCTGTTAATAAGGAATGACTTTAGATAGTTGAGGGACTGGCCCTCGATACCAGAGTGCGTAATTTTTGGAGTACAGCAGGTCATGGTGACCGTATCGAAAGCTTTTACTAAATCAATGAAATGCCAGGCGTACTTCTACTTTTCGAGTGCGGTATATATTAGTTCTAGCATGTTATGATAGCATCATTTGTGCTTTTTATATTCCTGAATCCAAACTGACAAGGGTATAATAATGTTGTGTAGACGAGGTAGAATCGAACCGTCATTAATTAATTTTTCAAAGATTTTTAGAGAGCGAGTTGTAAGTTAGATAAAGGTCTCTAGTTATTCAAGTCAGATGGCTACCCCTCCTTCGTGAACGGAGTGACCCCTCGCTATTTTGGAGGATTGATCGGGAAAGGTAGCTGATTCAATGGCTTTGATAGAGCGTTGCAATAATTGTTGACAATACAGTGGACCCTCGACCAACGATGGCATCGTATAACGTTAAATCCATCAAGCGATACATTTTATAACCGCAAAAATTTTGCCTCAACAGTGCTAAAAAACACGAACCCACGCGATTCGTTCTGTTCGAGATGCGTCCACTTGTGGCCTGAGCGCGCCTCGCTTGTCCTGTGGGTGCCAGTGTTCACAAGTCAGCCTGCCACCGTGGTCCCATCCAAACATACAATCGGAACATTTCATATTATCACAGAGTTATATAAGTGATTGCAACCAGCAAATAAGTCACCATGGGCCCCCAAGAAAGCTTCTATATGCCAACCCTACAGCAAAAAGGGTGAGAATTATAATGGATATGAAGAAAGAGATCATTGCTAAGTATGAAAGTGGAGTGCGTGTCTCCGAGCTGGCCAGGTTGTACACAAAACCCCAATCAACCATCGCTACTACAAGCCGTGTTGGCAT